ATATCGGCATTTATTTAACTACTAAATCTAAATTACAATTGAACTCAATTTTAGGCTATTTAAAATTGTAATAGGTAACATTTTGTGTTTAAGTACAAACAAAAGAAAGCTGTAGTTGTAAACTTTATATACGCATAAATAATTTTGTCAAATCTTTTCTAAAAGGTAATACTTGAAAAGCAAAGCTAAAACAAATATACATTATTTTTTCAAATGCATTTATATAATATCGTCATCTAATGATTCTTCTGAAATAAGGTTTGCTTGTTGGGGAGCCTTAAAATTATCTAAATGATGAAAGCTAATATATTTAAATTTCTAAGTTCTAAATATTTCAATCAGATTTAAGCGTGTTATCTGTTGTGACAATTTGTATGACGTTATTTTCGTGGATTTCAGAGCATCATAGAGTCTCCTATTTTTGAAGAAATATTTCATAAAGGATTGATGAATACTTCTGATCTTATGAAATATAGTCTTGTTTTGTAGAATATATTCGAATCTGTCTTTCATTCAAAAGAAAAACAACAAATTTGGAAAAAAATAGTTAAAAAATAAATTATTAACGCATTTCTTGATGTGAATGTTTTAAGAATGCTTCTAAAAATTAATAAATCGGTTCGCTAATATATTTCTCTATTAGGGCTTCCCAGCCATCCTCAACATGTTCTTGCAGGTCGACAGTGCTCTGGGTTTAGTGGAATGGTAACATTTTACATTAAGGGGGGTTCAAAGGAAACAGAGGAGTTTGTAAAGCACCTCAAGCTATTTACTTTAGCCCTGAGTCTGGGAGATGTAGAGAGTCTCGTTGAAATACCGTAAGTACACTTGATCCCTTCAATGTTCACCATCTAAAAGTTGCAGCATGTAAATTTATACTATGATCAACAAATAATGAGTTATCTATATTTTTTTTTCAATCAGACATTTCTTTAAAACTCTATTTTATCCCTTCTCAGTTCTTAGTCTTAGTGCTATTTTTATATCAAAACTTCATTTATGGTTTAATATTAAAAACTAATCAACTTTTCCTGATTTATATCAATATAAATGTGCATATTTGCCGTCTGAAAATTAGTAAGTAATGCAATTTACATAAAATATTCTTAAATTAACATTTTTAAACGTTTATGTAGCTTCTTCGTCTATAATAACTTTTTATATTAATCTAAGGTTTGGGTTAGCCCAATTCAAATATAATTATCCCTAATCTAGCCTCAGTATCTGTTTTATTAGCCTCTTCAACTAAGGGAAGCTTTTGTTTGTTGTTAAAGACAAAGCTACACAATTGGCTATCTGTACTGTGCCCACCACAAGTATCGAAACCAGGTTTTTAGCGGTATGAGCCCTCAAACTTACTGCTGAGCCACTGAAGGACTAAGGGCAGTTGGAGCTAGATTTGTTCTCAACTAACGTTCGGTCAACACTATATCTGTAGTTTATTGTTTGTTTAATCAAATCATTTTAAGTGTGTAATTATTTTAATTAGTACTATAAACTAGAGTATATTGTTTGTTAGTTATATTTTAGATCTATTATGACCCATGCATCTTTGTCCAAGAAAGAGAGGGATCTGTTAGGAATAACAGAAAATTTAGTTCGTCTCTCGGTTGGTATTGAAACTACAAAAGACCTCATTGAAGACCTTGATCAAGCTCTTAAAAGAAGCTGTAAGAAACTTTCTACACCCTAGGTAAATATTTTCATATAATCCTTCACTATTAATTTATCTGATTAGTTACTCTTTGAAAATATGTTTTTAATTTTTACAAAATTGAATTAGTATTTTCATGTCCTCTAGTACAATATTGATGATGATCAACTTTATTATAAATATCTGGAACCATATTAATAAGGATACATTTTTAAAACATGTATAATAACGTAATGTGAGGTTTTTGAATAACTTTTATTTTCTCTCTGTAGCACATTTTTTGACTTCTTTAGTTTCTTGCTATATTTAACTTCATGCATGTTTGTATGTTACTATTGCTGCAGAAAGTTCACTTTCCATTAACTGTTAGTAAATTTATTTTCTTATTTCAGGCTGTTAGAAATAAAAACAACATTAGAAAAGAAGAGTCAACCCTTTTTTGCTCGGGAAACATTGTTGTCAAATCTAGAATTCTGTGGCTAAACTAATTTATATCGGAGGAACTTTGTTTAATTAGATATTTATATAATCTGATTCTTATACATTAGCATTTTGGTAGTGGAACATAAAATAAAAATTCGATTAAAATTACTAACCACACAGTGTTATGTTTGTTATGTAAAATCAGAGATTCGTTTAATAACTGGAATGTGTGTTTTGGTGAAGGTGCATTGAATCTTTGAAATATTGATTATTTTGTTATTAAGATAATAGTATTTTTTGTATTTTATATTTTGGTATAATACAATAAAGCTTACTTTTAAAAACTATTCATAAATACAGTAGAAGAGTATTAATATTGTTACGTCTCCGTTCGTTCGTTAATTAATTTTCCGTAAATTCGTTCCAACGAAACTTTAGCGACACAAGTCTTTTCTTAAATAAAACTGGTTTATTCTTTCCGAATACAACTTTATCGATACACTTAATTTCAAAAGTCGCTCTATAACAAACGCTAGAACGTCTCACGTGCTCGTGCTCGACAATACTCAGTTCAATTACACAATCTCTGACTGCAGTTCAATTACTCAGTCTCTCTTCACGTTGTGACCGTCTTGTATATATACCAGCTACCCCCAATCCAGCAGTCTCCCGACAATTTATGAAGGTTCGAGAAGGACGTGGCGTGATACCAGTCACGTGACCTCGCTAACGCAACAATATTTACTCAAGTAAATGAACAAAATATATCAACCAGGTTTTACATCATTTGCTATATTTTTGTCAATAAAAAGCTTACTAGCTGCTCTAATATTTTTTAGTATTTTTGCCTTAGGGTATTTACTACAACGTATATTAAAATTAACTCACTATCACTCGTTTTTTTACCATCACGACTTAAAAGATAAGATCAGTTATATACTTATCTTGAAACTTAATCTATTCTTAACACTAAGACAATATTTACTGATTTTGAAACTTACCTGGAACTTGCAGTCATGTAAACATAATTTTCGTAAGATGTGACACAAATATTCAGCATGTTTTGAAATGTTTACATCTATAATTTTAATTTAAAAATTATTACATGATTAAAAAAAACAACAACAAATAAAACAGCCAATTGCTTTAAAAGTAAACGTTAAATGTTTCTGGTTTCAACACATTCCCGAAGCGGTGTTGTGAAATAACTAAATCCAACAAGAATTACAATCTGAGAAATTGAATGGGAAAGTTTTGAGCAAAGAAATATTCGTAGTTTCCTCTTGTACCACACATTCTTCTCAGTTATTTATATGTAGAAATGTTAGAGGATGAAAACTTTCACTTGTCATTTGTTGCTCATTTTATTAAACTAAACGATTTCGAGGGCTTTCGAAAAACTAGATAGTAATGCAAAGGTAAATATTTACTTACAGTGGTCAAAATTTCAAACCTGAAATGTGAAAACTTCTTCAGAGGGTGAATACTCTAATCGAGGACTATAAAAAAAGCCTCATTTGAGTTATTATTTTTATATTTTATCGTGAAAAACTGATCTTGAACAGTCAAACACTATATCCTCAAAAACTGAATATTTTAAATTAACCTTGACAATGAAGCAATATTGTGTTATCAGTAACAAAACGTGTTTATATATTTATTCATCACACGTATAAAGCCAGTTTCTTAGAATTAGAAGTAACATAATCGCCAATGACACCATCCAATGTTAGGGTTAAACTCTTAGGAAACACGTGTCTAAAATGGTGCCGTCGATCAGATTCGTAAGGATGGCACGTCAGTAAAATGTGGGCTATTGCGACTTGAGTGTCACAAAGGCCACACATTGGTGGGTAGGTCATAGATAAAAGAAAACGATGAATTAAAAAAACTGTGACCAATGCGTAGCCTAGCCAAGACAACTTCCTCATTCCGATCCTTACAGAAACATGATGGCCAAAGAGCAACAGAAGGTTTGATCTGGAAAAGCTTGTTATGACGTTGCTCACACCAAGTTGACTGCCAACTGGCGCGAAGTTGAGCCTTGAATACGGGACCGTAGTTCATATATGGAACAAGCATGGCTGTGACATCACCAGAGCAGATGGATTTAGCTGAGGTGTCAGCAAGCTCGTTCCTGCGAATACTGACATGGCCAGGTATCCAGAAAAACTGGATACTAATGGAAGATAGAGAAAAAATGGGCCAGTCGTTGTTGAATATCGACAACAGGGTGAGAACTAACGCTTAGCAATTCCAGGGCCAGTAGAGAGCTAAGAATGTCAATGTAAATGGTACAATCAATGTACTGCATAGCTTCTTTGTGATCCAGGGCAAGAGAAATGGCATACAACTCGGCAGTGAACACAGAAATTGCAAAGGGCATCTTCCGAGCAAACCATGGGAGAGCCTACAGAGTCATCTGATTTCGAACCATCAATAAAAATGGAAACAGAAGAATGGTTCGAAAGATGTTCAGCAAAGAGAAGATGGTACTTCCAATTGGGAGTATCCGCCTTCCTTAGATGACTCAAGGAAAGGTCACATTCGGGTATGGCAATGAGCCATGGTGGAATGGGCTGATCATTGGGGGCAGCAACGTCATACAATGCCTGACCCAATTCAGCCAGTTGTGCCTGGATATGAAGGCCAAAGGTAGGAATTATAGACAATCTGTTCTGAAAGAGCACAGACCACCGAAGAAGAAAGACGCAATCCCAGGTGGGATACTGTGGTAAGGATCGAAGCTTGGTAGCATACTGTAGAGAAAGTTGCAAATGGCAGAGGTGAAGAGGAAGTTCGTGGGACTCAGTGTGCAAACTCGGGAGTGGAGAAGTGTGGAAAGCCCCCATGCAGAGCTGAAGCCCCAGATGGTGAATAGGGTTCAGCACCTTTAAGGCTGAGGTCCTGGGAGAACCAGAGACCCATAGTCCAGTTTGGATTGAATAAAGGCACGCTAGATCTTGAGCACAGAACATCAAACTGCTCCCCAAGAGGTGGAAAAGAGGACATGGAGAATGTTCAGTGCCCTTGTAAACTTGACATGCAGCTGCTTTATGTAAGGAATGAAAGTAAGCTTATGGTCAAAGATAAGCCCCAAGAACTTTGCCTCAGGGACCATGGGAAGAACCTCATCACAGAGATGGAGCTTGGGGTGTAGATCCCATTGGTGGCAAAAATGCATGCAAGCAGTATTGGAAAAAGAAAAGGTAAAACAGTTTGCTGTGGTCCACTTCAAGAAGCGATTGAGGGCAGTCTGAAGCTGCCACTCAATAAACCTCATGTTCGATGACCTACATGAAATGTGGAAGTTGTCGATATAGAGTCCATTAGTAACAGTAGAAGGAAGTTGTGTAGTGAGAGCATTGACCTTGATACTGAAAAGTGTGAGACTCAAGACACTGCCCTGAGGGACTCCTGTGTGAAAGAAGTGATGAACCCATATGCACTTGGAATCGCCTGTCAAGTAAACATTTCTGAATAAAAATAGGGAGATGGCCATGCAACCCATATGAGTGGAGGTCTCGCAAAATGCTGTACCTCTATGTAGTGTCATAAGCTTTAGCAAGATAAAAGAAAAAAACTTAGGAGAAAAACTTAAGAGGGGTCGGAACCACCACAATTGATGCAGTAAGGGTCCAATTGACACTTGTAGGTGTCATGGTCTTAGCCACCATAACGAGCACAAGTCAAAGAACCATGACAAGATGCCTTTGAATGTCCAAAATGCTGACACTGGAAATACTGGAGAGGGTTAGGAATGTATGGCCGTATGTTACAGTTAAGATAACCTGCCTTGACAAAGGCAGGTGGACCTGGCGTTGTAAACGTCAGAATGAGAACATTGGTTGGCAGCATAATTCCGTCCTTGTGAGAAGAGATGCGTCACTCAGCAGAAATTCCTTGGCTGGAGAAACCAGCGAGGATCTCCAACTCGGGGATGTTTTCCAAATTTCTCTCAATGATCACTCCTCTGGAGGAATTCAAAGTAGCATTGGGAGTAACCTCAATGGGTATATCTCCAATGGTCTTTGACCTCAGTAGGAGTTCACTATGTGTAGGTGTAGATGTTTCCACAAAAATGTCTCTAGAGTGCAACATCCTGACTGACTTGGGAGAGCCAGCAAGCCTCTCTAATCCCTTCTGAATGAAAAAAAAAAAGAGACATTTGACCTAAGGATTTGTCAGATAAAGAGTGAAGAATTAAAAATCTAGGTATGGGATCTGACTTTGGTGGTGACTATAGAATAGTCGTCGTCTATGCATGGTCATTTACCTATTAGGTATTTTTTCTAGGAATGGGGGATCCATAATAAATAGAGAATGATTCAGTGCCCACTACCCCACACCCACCATGGAGTCCTATGAGGGGACACGCTACAATGCCAAACAAGGACACTGTAGCAACACCAGGGCTTTGTGAGCACTACCCAAACACCAGCACAGACACAATGTCAACAACACCCCTTGAAAATGTCCAGTACTGGTACTCAGTTGACCCTAGCCCAACATAACCAGTCGATTGACCCTGGAAGGGGGCACCCCATCTACAGGAATGCAAGGCCAAAGTGGTGTGTTGCAGTGCCCCAGACACCACTCAACCACGAGGATCCTCTCCTCCCCT